GAGAGAGAGAGAGAGAGAGAGAGAGAGAGAGAGAGAGAGAGAGATTCAAATGTACCAGCAGCTTTCTAAGACTCCGCTTTCTCGCCATATGACATTTTACAGACCATGGAATAGACCCAGGGGATTTAATTCTCCAAAGTGTTCAATACCAACAGACCAAACACTATCCCCAGAGTTTCATTTCTTAGATTAAGGTCATATCAAGTACTGGTTATCAATACATTCTCAGTATAAAACTGGTCGGAGAATAGAGAAAAGCCATGAGGATTTTCAGAAGGTTTCTGTCATTGGAGATGCAATCCCATGAGATGCATCCCCATTTAGTTCAAACAGAAATCTTTTTTATGGTTTCTGCTTAGGGTCACCCCAGATGCCTTCATTTTCTTTAATATTAGATAGAATCCATGAAATATCTCTGGAGATTCTTTTTAATCTGCTACTGATCAAGTGTATGGTCTCCTGGGTTTAAGATTCCAAGGAGTCTAGTGAGAATATGGAAATAGGCCAATGGGCACAGGCTTCATCTTGTTTTAATAGGTATGGCTTTTGCAGGTTAGCAGAACTTTTATTGACAACAACACCTAATTGACCAGAAATCTGTGACATTGCACCATTTACCAGTCATGTCATTGCACAGTTGTGACAGATGTGACAATTGTTCACAATGATTAGGTTGGACTGCCCCCCCCCCCCCCAAAAAAAAAAAAGATTTTTTTAAGTTATTTGAAAATCAAGTACAGTATGTACAAATAAAATTCCCAATGCCTATATTTGACTGAAACATAAGGGGCATAAGACTGTAATCAATCTTCATGGGAAACATTATTTCCATGTTCACACAAAAATCTACCATAAGACTTGTATTTAGAAAACTTACCCAAATCTTTTCCAAAGCCAGACTGCTTGAAGCCACCAAAAGGAGCAGCAACATCTGTCTTGTTGTATGTGTTGACAAATACTGTGCCGGCATCAATGTGGTCTGCTACCCACAATGCTTTGCTCACGTCATTTGTGAACACTCCTGATGCCAAACCAAATTCTGTGTCGTTTGCTCTTCTTACTACATCTTCTGTGTCACTGAAATCACACAGGAAGTTTTATCTTTTTGCAAGATTTGGTATGTGATAAAATACATAAATTTCATTTATATATTTTTGAAAAGTGAGTAAATGTATTGTCAAGGTTGGATAACACACATGAAATCACTTTCTAACCAATGACCACAATTTCGTTACTGGTTACAGGAAAACATTTTCTTACAATCTTTCAATCACAGTTTATATATGTTGATTTAAGTGCAGGTATATAATATGATCATGTTATACATTGTTCTGATTACAGAAAAACAGGTTTTCCTACAATATTTCAATCACAGTTCATCAACATTTAACATGATCATATCATATACCTGCACTAAAATTAAATGTCTAATCTTAATTTTAGCACTTACCCATTCTTAAACTTAGATATCACCATGACAGGCCCAAAGGACTCTTCCTTGGCAATGAACATGTGGTCTTCTACATCAGTGAAGACTGTGGGCTCCATGTACAAACCTACAGGAAAAAACAGCAAATAATTTCTAAGAATTGAAGTAGATTTAATAATCCTACATGACTGAAATAACAATGCAACTATTATAAAAGTTACCAAGATCTATTTTTAAAAGTGACAGGACTATATGGTAGAATCCAGCAAATTTCACATATTGCTACATGTGTATTTAAAAACTTTTTCAAATGTTGCCCACATAAACCCTCGCTGTACTACAAACTGTACAGCAAGTCGACATGTCAGCTTTAATATTGCACCTCTTCTTGCTCTCCAAGCTTCTACAGTAAGAAACTAGAACAGAGCACAGTGCAAACTAACTACTGCCCTGACCGTAACCCAATAAATATTAATGCATGAGACATTGAATGAATGGCAAAAAGCCTTATCAACAAAATGCTAAAAGTAAAAGAAATATGATCGAGATGTCTTTACATAGACAAACATGACTTTTAATGGCAAAGCAATTTTTTAAAATGATTTACGTTTCTTACCTGGGATGTCTACCTGTTTGCCTCCCATCACTAGCGTGGCTCCCTGATCTACCCCTATCTGGCAGTACTCTATCAACTTCTCTAAATGAGCTCTGGAATATAAGAAATGTGATAAAATCTTATCCATCTTTCAACTATTCCATGCAGTAAAATGCTCCAGAATGTCCCCTTGTTATTCTCAAATGTGTGTGTTAACTAAGAACACTGAGAGCGTAACATACCTGTGGTTTTGAGGACCATGGTCTGTGGACCTGTCCAGGGGATTGCCTATCTTCATTTTCTTTACTTCTGTGACCTGGAACACCAAGCAGGAAAGTGATATATTTTCTCAACAATTTTGAGCTATTCTTCCCTTAATCCAAATATCTATCACATTTACCTCTTGAAATACTTTCCTTTACATTAAGTACAGCCCTTTCCCCATTACCATTAACAGTGACATCAAAATTTTTTTTTCTGTAATTTATTGAATTTAAGACATCCATTTCCTTCATTTTGATAGAGTGCACCATCTCCCCCCTCCTCTCTCTCACACACACACACGCATGCATGCATGCACGCACGCACGCACACACACACACACACACACACACACACACACACACACACACACAAAATGACCCACCAACTAAACTCTCAACTACTTACCACTCTGTCTAGGAACTTGTCATGGATTCCCTCCTCCACAAACAGCCTGCCGGCAGCAATGCAGTTCTCTCCTTTGTTGAAGAAGACAGAGCTCATTGCCATTCTGACGGCCTTGTCCAAGTCACAGTCATTGAAGATGATCAGCGGGGACTTCCCTCCCAATTCCAGGGACACTTTCTTCAAATTACTTCTGGCACAGCTTTAGAGGGATGAAGAACAGACGTTAACAGTTTTGATAAACAAATATATTAATATATTAGAAAAAAAAATTAAAATAAACAAAACAGGGCTAGCTTATCAGCCATTTGGTTAGATTCAGACACATGCGTTTATCTATAAAATCAGTGCAGAGGTGAAGAGTTGTGCTAAAAAGATTATTTAAAACAAAGAGATGATGGCTGATGAGCAAACTTTTTCAATGATCTCCTGTAATCTTAAACAGCCCATGGTCTTTATTCGCTGACTTATATCAACATCATCTATTTATTAATATTATCTATTCAGAATGTTCTATTTACTAAAAGATGTTTTTTTTTCATTATTGGACCAAAAACATTGTTTTATTTAATTAAAAGTTTAATTCTTTAAGATTTAAACAGAATAATTATATAAACTAGGATCACCCCTACCTCTCCATGATGGTCTTTCCAATTGGTGTGGAGCCAGTGAAGCCAAGCTTCCTCACTTGTTCATGGTCTGCAATGCCCTGTCCCACCACTGAACCTGTAGGGGGAACAACGCGAACAAATACCGTCAAAATGTGAAAAGTAAGTCATTTCTAAGGATCTAAAAGCTTTGTTCTACCAGCGAGAAATGGTGTTTTGACCCTATACTCAAGGGACTCGATAGCATGACTGATCTCTCAAATGTTTTACATGACAATGTGATATCTCTATCATTTTTGTCTAGGTAATTATCTTGGCCAAACCACCTGCTGGCTTATGTACATCTTGATGTAAATAAATAAATAAAAATATTGTAGGGTCATAAGATCAGCCCCTGGTCATCACTAGGACCAACAGCTAGCTTCTCCTGACCACCACTTGCTGTCCCTCCTCACCCAAACAGTGACCAGCTGGACCTAACAACTGGACTGTCCCCTAAGCCAGGAGGAATTAATTCTGGGGTGAAAACACTGGATCACATAGTAAGGACTTAGGGGAAAATCTGACAAGAATTTTAGCCCACTATGCTGCCTTTTACACTGAATTTAAAAGGCCATTTACCAATTTGACGTCGGTAAATAAGCCCCAAAGGTAATGTTTGTTTTTTGATGCTGTTTTTCACCCTTAGTGGTGGCAATAGCTAATTTACGTAGTAAATATGTAAACCATATTCACACCGTTTTGATCTTGTCTTGTGCTACTGCTGCCACCCACCTGAGCCTGAGATAATGTTGATGACACCAGCTGGGAATCCGGCTCTGACAACAAACTCTCCAAACTTTAGGGACGTGAGAGGTGTGACCTGAAATAATTATAAATACATAAAATTAACTGTTTTAATATATATGCAAATATATGCTAAAATGACACCATGATATTTTTTAATTCACCTATAAGACAAGACTCATGATGACTACCAACTGTAGGCTTGTGTCAAAAGAACAGGAAGATAGTTATCTGGATGACCGTAAAGTTGAAGCTTAATTTACAATCAGAAATCATATTTACCTGTGCTGGTTTCAAAACCACTGTGTTTCCTGCAGCAAGACATGAAGCTGTCTTCCATGCTAACATCATAAGTGGATAATTCCATGGAGTAACTATGCCACACACACTGGAAATATAGTAGTTAATATTGAATAGTTTATATATATTTTATATATATGACAGGGAAATAGGGGCTGAGAATACATGGCGTGAAGTCCAGACCTCCTCCCTCCAGTTTTATTGCAGATGTTGTAAACCAGAAAACTTTATGTACCTGCATTTGAGTAATTATGCCTTTTTATTTGAATCTAGCAACAATTTTTTCACTGCCACAAAATAATTGTGTAACACAGGGAAAAGGATCAGAGGTGTTGACAACACTCACCCCAGTGGCTCCCTTCTTGTGTAGGTGAGATTTCTGCTTGGTCTGGCGTGGTTGATGGGAATTGTTTTACCCTGGAGTAATAATAATAATAATAATAATAATAAAGAGTTTTTTAAAACTGCAAGCCTCTTTTGTATCAATGCTGTGTATAAGAGATAAAAATGAAAATTCCTCAAGCTCACCAACTAAAATGAACAGTTCCATGTATGCTAAGAAATACTCACTGCAGGTAAAATGATTCTGTATTTCATATCACACCAGAAAAAAACAATGGAAAAAAGTTCTGATAATTAATGCTGAGGATCAAAGCAAGTTCTTGTGTGTGTGCCACAAAACCTACGTGAATCTTGTCGCACCATCCCGCGAAGTATTTGAAGGTGTCTATGGACATGCCCACATGGGTTTTCAGGGCCAGGGTGTACACTGCACCAGAGTCTATACTCTCTAGGGTGGCTAACTCTTCTTTGTGTTTGTCCATTAGATCTGCAAGTCTAGGAAAGGAAAATGGTAATTAATAAAAAGAAATTATTCACTTGGTATATATATCTAGACAACTTCACAAAATTGAGAGTCCTGTTTATATTATATATTAACATAAATTCCCTACATTCCAACTTTTAATGTGAATACCTGGAACTAATTATCTTAACCTGAAATCACTTACTTGAACATCAGGGCTCCTCTGTCTCTGGCATTCATCTGCCCCCACGGGCCATCAAAGGCTTTCTAGGGAAATAAAGTCAATATATGTACAAATAAATAAATAAATAAATAAACTAAAAAATCGGTGAGGCGATACTGCCTCCTGGTATTTTACCACCATTGGAAATAAATAAATAAATAAATAAGCAATCATATTTGGGATTTATTTAATATCCTTCACTTTTTATAATAATTTATAATTTAATAATTATCATCATTTATTACTTTTTTCATCTCAGATCACCACTCACCTTGGCACACTCTACTGCCCTGTTAACATCTTCCTTTGTACCCAAGGCAACTTTACATATCACCTAGAAATAACAATCAAGTTTTTCATCAAAAATAAAACATACCTGGTTTAAACTACTTGTAATGAACTTAACTCAGCACAGTTTATATGTCATATGTATTTATAATTTTATAACATTTTATACTTAAAACAAATGATCAACAATGTTATAACTCATAAATCTACTTGAAGAAATATGGAAACTATGCATTGTCAAAGGATTTCTGCAAACATAATGTCCTGTCCATCAGCAAAACTCCTGATATTTTTGAAGACAGATTTAATACCAGTTTACAGAAGAATTGTTCAATGTACACTTACAGATTCATCAGCAGGATTTACTGTATTAAATGTCTTCCCATTGGAAGAGTCCACAAATTCATTATTGATAAATAACTGGTTTGGAAAGGAGAGGTCCATATTGTTGACATGCATCTTCACCTGGAAATATGTCAGAAAGCAGGGCCAAATTAAATCAATGTTGTGAAATTGTCTTGAAGACATCCATGTTATAGACCATAAGGCTGATAAATTAAATGAAGACAATCCAACAAATAATGAAACAATTTTTTTTGTGTAACTGACAGTTATAGTTCCTTTAGTCTGTGTCAAAAAATTGTATCTTCACCAAAAATTTCGGAGAAAAATTTGTATAATTTTAAACTATCATACACATTCGTAAAAATGAGATTGAGATTCAAGATTTCCCCCAGTACTTACAGCATCATACACAAACTCTGCAGGCTCACCAAAACCTCTGCTCTTCTGCACCACCATATAAATAAACTCATCAAAAGTGGTGGCCATATACACATCTTCATTTTCAATCTTCAGTCCACTACACTTTTCTTTCACTTCTTCAACCAATCTGAGAGAAATACAAGAGCAAACATTCACCAAATACGATTCCGCGCTTATTTTACGGGGAAAATATTCAAAAGGAGTAGATAACAGGTGGCTTAGTGTTGTCAAGATGCCTCACTGGAAATTAACAGAATCTTCCAATACTTATTATTTAAACTTTCTTGCACAAAATATACTTTTAACCCAGTAATGTCAACATATGATAAACTGCAACACTAAAGAAAAATTCTGATCGTCATATAATTGCAGGATAAAAATTTGTTGTGCAAGAGTAATGGGTGCTGTGCAGAAGTAACAGAAAAGTTTACCTTGTGACATCCATGGACGCTGCTCCAGAGGCAAAAAAGTCTGTGCTGCCATCTATATCTGCTTTACTGAGAATACCTCTCCAAATGTTCTAAAAGAGATGAGGACTATTTCAACATTCTATTAAAAAATTCCCAACTTGTGTCATGACTACCATCTATGTTTTAAATTTTCCACTCCTTTTTTAAACTCAAAAGTTACACACTAAAAAATCCTTCATCCTATTCTTCAACAAGTTTAATAAAACACATACTTACCAAAATTATTTCTTTCATTTCTTTTTCCTCATCGCTGAGTTCAATCTCTGTTTTATATAGTGCTTCCTCCTGGCCAAAGTGAGAGGCGTGGATGGTTTTCCCAGAGGGCAGCTGCATAGTTCTGATGTTCACCTACAGTTTCAAGATGTCATTAAGTTTTACGAGAATAACATAATTATGCATATTATTAATCAGTTACATTTAAGACATTGAAAAGAGCTTAGAGAACCAAGTCAACATCAGAATGCCCTACACACACTTACTCACGCATGGACTAAATTTCTATTCGTTTACATTCCGATCTCCTTGGAAAATGTTTTGAAAATATTCTTATACAAAAAAAAAAAAAAAAAAAAAAAAAAAAAAAAAAAATTCTGAAACCAGTTTGATATGCAATGTTAGAAATTTTGGCTAAGGAGCAATTATTAAACCATACTAAATACACATATTCACTTCTTTTTTTACAAATCCTTTATGTGGCAATCATTTCATCATCTCTATCTGATTCCTCACCATTTTTCCATCATTTCCAAAGAGAATCATCCCCTCCTCGTGCACAATGGCGGGTGTGTTCTTCCCCTGTATGTCCACGGGTCTTCCCTCTGGAACACTCTCTGTCCACAGACTGGAGTGATACAGTGTTACCTCCTGGAAAATAGTTATATTCAGTATTATTATTATGCACTGGCAAAACTGAACTGTTTGACAAGAATATACACTATTCCAATCAATAATCAAATGACTGACTGTCAAAACTCACACTTTTAAACTTATTTTCGTTAATGTGACAAAGATGGTGTAATATTCTTCACAAAAATGATTAAGAACCTGCAATACTGATTAACAAAATCTGACCTCTCCATCAATGACGGCCCAGGCGCCGGGGTGACGGTCATGTCCTCGGACAAAATTATGAAGGGACTCGGCGGATTGATCCCAGTTGATCTGTAGAAAAAAAATCAAATATAAATTTAAAACATCTGATTTACCTTAAATAAAATGACTGTGAATATTTTAAAGCTGAACTGTGTATTTTTTGAATAAACAAATTAGTATAAAAAAGATATGTGCTTACTTATAGGTGATCTACACATTAAAAGTACCACTTTTTAAAGAAAAAAAAATTTGATCCTTGCCTCCAGGGTATTATATTCTTCCATCAACTTTTAAGATATTACCTCACAAAGCTCTTTTCTCAATAATGCCTCATAGGTGGCGCCCTCATCTGACTGCTTCTCCTTGGGTGCAACGCCATCTGCTACCATTTGAACTGCTTCACCCTGGGCAAAGAAGTTCAAATAAATTAAACAAACGTCAATAAGAAAGTTCACAAAATAAAATGTTACTCTTGGAGTAAAAGAATTTTGTATTAGTGTTCAGAACCCTCACAATAATTTTTTTCAACCAAGCATTGCTAAAGTGGACTCTTTCCAACTGGGTAATGAGAAATGAAATCTTGTCAAATGCAAGACGTCTAATTTGGCCAACTCTCAGTTAACTGTTTCAAATTACAGAAACTTGATACAACTACAGGTCTACCCCCCCGGCCCCACACCCCAACCCCACCCCACCCACTCCCCAGTGTGTTCATTATATACAAATACACTTTATGGCAGAGTTCCGCTTACCATAGCCTTAATACCCTCTGGGAACATGAACCTGTTGTACAGTGTATCTACTGTGTCATTGGGGTCTACATCGCACTCCCTCTGCAGCAATATGGGGCCAGTGTCCAGGCCATCATCTGCCCAGAATATGGAGAAACCCGCCTTCTTGTCCCCCTGGATTAGTGTCCTGTTATCAGTGAATAATAGGAATGAAAAATAATTCATGTTTTGATGTTCATAAAATGTTATTCTCACTGTGAACTGAAAATACAAGATGAAATAAAATCTGCAAAATAAACAATTATATTAGTAACTAAAAAAAAAAAAAAAAAAATCATTTTGTCTTTTTGAAGGTGTAGTCTGGGATAGGGGGAGGAATTTACTCATTTTCTTTTAGCAAAATCTATTAATGTCGTTAAAAAACCCTCACCAGTTTATGGCAGACGCTCCTCTGTGTCTAGGCAACAGAGATGGATGATAGCAGACAGATTCATTCTTGGGTGCCGTAATAACCTCCATGGGAATAAACTGAGTACAATATGGAAGAACGTTGAGATCTGCACCAACGGAGTGGTACTCCTGAAGGATTTCTGGAATGACCTTGCCCTTCTTCCGCCATCTTGGATATTTGAAAACTTTGACGCCATCTTCTTCTGCTGCGGTGGCTGTAAAATAAAATTACAATAATTTTCTTTGAGAAATTATTCATTCATACTGATTAAGTCTTATACAGTCAGAAAAACTATATGAATTCAGGTTTTTTTTCAAATTTCAAAGTACATCCCAGATAGCAGTTGTCATTATACTCACAGTTTTCAGAGAACCTCACATATTTCAATAAACATCTTCTTTCCAAGACATACTATTTTATTAGTACCCAACTACAATTCAATTTTCAGAAATTATCATGTATATATAAGTATAATTTGAAATAAGTAATAATTTGCTCTTTTTTTCAATTTCTAAAGCTATTATCATGGCAACAGCATCAGAGAGTAATGTTTACAATTAACACACATCACCATATCTATGACCTGAACTTTCTATTATATCTGGAACCAGTGATAAAGTTTTGACATTTCAGCAACAGAAAGTCTAGACGCTATGCAAACAAACACTGGGATAGTTGACCAAGTATATTATGTAATTTCTTTTATACTCAAAAGTAATTTTCATTGGTTCTGGCACATTTTTGACAAAATGCTATAACCTAACAATAACATATAACAGTATTAATCATGTGCTCTGATGATTATGAACCTAAGAAGAGCATTATAATTATTATATACAACTAGTAAGACAAATCTGAGCATTGGAAACTGCAAAATATGCAGTATTGAAATTGTTTTAAAATGCAGGTATTTTAACGCAAAAGACGAAGATAACAACAAGTTTTATCCAACACTTCCAAGTTGTTGCTTTTTAGAGCAAATTAATAAAACATAATCAACCACTGTTTCCCTGATATCACACTTTAATCCAGATATTCCTAGATAAACGGGACCAGTTTCAACAGCACGTCTCTAGAGCCACAATGTGGTAAGGTGTGAAGAGATAATGACTGGTTTTGTCTGGCCAACTCTAAATAATTTCAACACCTCTAGGTTCTTTGCACACAGAACCAGTAATGAAAACTGGTTTTAGTTTAACCTGCCTCCACTGAACTTCATACGGCATCTTTATCTTATCTTTTCAACAAGTACATGTCAATACACCATGGATTGTCAATATTATGATCTGATATCACACACTATGATGCAATTTTTTCCAAAGTTTAGACAATTATTTTAGTTTAGCATGTATCTTTTTAAAGAGAGAACTGGTATATATAAATGGAAACTGTCTTTAAATTGGTTAAAAAACGGGCTTCATCTGAACTATGTGACACACTTATCTTTTCAACATGTATACAAGTATCAATACACCATAAAATGTCAATATTATGATCTCATCTGGTATGTCTTGGCTAGTTTAATTAAACAATTTGCAAGTTTACTGCGCACTATAGTTGCCAAAAAGAAGTCAGGCCTGATAAACGATAAAATTACAATTATCACTAATCTGCTGCTCCAAGTCACAACTAGAGGATCAGAGAGGCGATACCGCCTCCGAATATTGTACCACCAGCTGGAGCAAGCGCATTCGTATAGACCCCCACATATACAAAATAAGGAACACAGCCACCAGTCTTGTGCTTGACAAGCTGTAAAAATGCAATCAACAAGAATTTTCAAAATATGCAAAAAATATATATATATATTACTAAAAATGGTACAATCAAAGTTAAGTTCATCGTAAGGTAGGTCAAAGGTCAATTCCAAGGTCACAGTAAATTGCCAGTCTATGACTTCCTATTCAACTTCAATAGTAACTATGGGCCTATCTCTGCCAGGTTTGGAGTTAAAAGAAAAAGAAATTAGCAGAGTTCAGTTCATGATAATNTAGAAGAGTCCACAAATTCATTATTGATAAATAACTGGTTTGGAAAGGAGAGGTCCATATTGTTGACGTGCATCTTCACCTGGAAATATTTCAGAAAGCAGGGCCAAATTAAATCAATGTTGTGAAATTGTCTTGAAGACATCCATGTTATAGACCATAAGGCTGATAAATTAAATGAAGACAATCCAACAAATAATGAAACAATTTTTTTTGTGTAACTGACAGTTATACTTCCTTTAGTCTGTGTCAATTTTTAAAGCCAACTAGGGCTTTGGAACACCAGGGTCTAAGAATCCACTGGTTTAAAGCAGAAATTTTTAAGAAACTGAATCAATTTTCTTCTTGTCATAACTTCAGTTTTACTAGCATGTTGCATGAATGCAGACCTTATACCGCATATGAAAATGAGATTCAAGATTTCCCCCAGTACTTACAGCATCATACACAAACTCTGCAGGCTCACCAAAACCTCTGCTCTTCTGCACTACCATATAAATAAACTCATCAAAAGTGGTGGCCATATACACATCTTCATTTTCAATCTTCAGTCCACTACACTTTTCTTTCACTTCTTCAACCAATCTGAGACGAAAACAAGAAACATTCACCAAATATGATTCCGCGCTTATTTTATGGGGAAATTATTCTAAAGGAGTAGATAACAGGTGGCTTAGTGTTGTCAAGATGCCTCACTGAAAATTAACAAAATCTTCCAATACTTATAATTTAAACTTTCTTGCACAAAATATACTTTTAACTCAGTAATGTCAACATATGATAAACTACAACACTAAAGAAAAATTCTGATCGTCATATAATTGCAGGATAGAAATTGGTTGTGCAAGAGTAATAGGTGCTGTGCAGAAGTAACAGAATAGTTTACCTTGTGACATCCATGGACGCTGCTCCAGAGGCAAAAAAGTCTGTGCTGCCATCTATATCTGCTTTACTGAGAATACCTCTCCAAATGTTCTAAAAGAGATGAGTATTTCAACATTCTATTAAAAATTCTCAACTCATGTCATGACTACCATCTATGTTTTTAATTTTCCACTCCTTTTTTAAACTCAAAAGTTACACACTAAAAAATCCTTCATCCTATTCTTCAACAAATTTAATTAAAAACATACTTACCAAAATTATTTCTTTCATTTCTTTTTCCTCATCGCTGAGTTCAATCTCTGTTTTATATAGTGCTTCCTCCTGGCCAAAGTGAGAGGCGTGGATGGTTTTTCCAGAGGGCAGCTGCATAGTTCTGATGTTCACCTACAGTTTCAAGATGTCATTAAGTTTTATGCAAATAACATAATTATGCATATTATTAATCAGTTACATTTAAGACATTGAAAAGAGCTTAGAGAACCAAGTCAACATCAGTATGCCCTACACACACTTACTCACACATGGACTAAATTTCTATTTGTTTACTTATGGATCTCCTTTGAAAATGTTTTGAAAATATTTTTATACAAAAAAATTCTGAAACCAGTTTGATATGCAATGTTAGAAATTTTGGCTAAAGAGCAATTATTAAACCATACTAAATACACATATTCACTTCTTTTTTTACAAATCCTTTATGTGGCAATCATTTCATCATCTCTATTTGATTTCTCACCATTTTTCCATCATTTCCAAAGAGAATCATCCCCTCCTCGTGCACAATGGCGGGTGTGTTCTTCCCCTGTATGTCCACAGGTCTTCCTTCAGGAACGCTCTCCGTCCACAGACTGGAGTGATACAGTGTTACCTCCTGAAAAATAGTTATATTCAGTATTATTATGCACTGTCAAAACTGAACTGTTTGACAAGAATATACACTATTCCAATCAATAATCAAATGACTGACTGTCAAAACTCACACTTTTAAACTTATTTCCGTTAATGTGACAAAGATGGTGTAATATTCTTCACAAAAATGATTAAGAACCTGCAATACTGATTAACAAAATCTGACCTCTCCGTCAATGACAGCCCAGGCACCGGGGTGACGGTCATGTCCTCGGACAAAATTATGAAGGGACTCGGCGGATTGATCCCAGTTGATCTGTAGAAAAAAATCAAATATAAATTTAAAACATCTGATTTACCTTAAATAAAATGACTGTGAATATTTTAAAGCTGAACTGTGTATTATTTGAAGAAACAAATTAGTATAAAAAAGATATGTGCTTACTTATAGGTGATCTACACATTAATCAAGCCTTAATACCACTTTTTAACGAAAAAAATTTTGATCCTTGCCTCCAGGGTATTATATTCTTCCATCAACTTTTAAGATATTACCTCACAAAGCTCTTTTCTCAATAATGCCTCATAGGTGGCGCCCTCATCTGACTGCTTCTCCTTGGGTGCAACGCCGTCTGCTACCATTTGAACTGCTTCACCCTGGGCAAAGAAGTTCAAATAAATTAAACAAACTTCAATAAGAAAGTTCACAAAATAAAATGCTACTTTTGGAGTAAAAGAATTTTGTATTAGTGTTCAGAACCCTCACAATATTTTTTTTCAACCAAGCATTGCTAAAGTGGACTCTTTCCAACTAGGTAATGAGAAATGAAATCTTGTCAAATGCAAGATGTCTAATTTGGCCAACTCTCAGTTAACTGTTTCAAATTACAGAAACTTGATACAACTACAGGTCTTCCCCCCCCTCCCACACCCCCACCCCACCCACTCCCCAGTGTGTTCATTATATACAAATACACTTTATGGCAGAGTTCTGCTTACCATAGCCTTAATACCCTCTGGGAACATGAACCTGTTGTACAGTGTATCAACTGTGTCATTAGGATCCACATCGCACTCCCTCTGCAGCAATATGGGGCCAGTGTCCAGGCCATCATCTGCCCAGAATATGGAGAAACCCGCCTTCTTGTCCCCCTGGATTAGTGTCCTGTTATCAGTGAATAATAGGAATGAAAAATAATTCATGTTTTGATGTTCATAAAATGTTATTCTCAATGTGAACTGAAAATACCAATTGAAATAAAATCTGCAAAATAAACAATTATATTAGTTAATCCACCAGGATCAAATTCGCAACAAATCCTTTGTTTATTTTGGGAAAAAATTCATTTGGTCTTTTTAAAGGTCTAGTCTGGGAAAGGGGGAGGAATTTACTCATTTTCTTTTAGCAAAATCTATTACTGTCATTTAAAAAACCCTCACCAGTTTATGGCAGACGCTCCTCTGTGTCTAGGCAACAGAGATGGATGGTAACAGACAGATTCATTCTTGGGTGCCGTAATAACCTCCATGGGAATAAACTGAGTACAATATGGAAGAACGTTGAGATCTGCGCCAACAGAGTGGTACTCCTGAAGGATTTCTGGAATGACCTTGCCCTTTTTCCGCCATCTTGGATATTTGAAAACTTTGACGCCATCTTCTTCTGCTGCGGTGGCTGTAAAATAAAATTACAATAATTATCTTTGAGAAATTATTCATTCATACTGATTAAGTCTTATACAGTCAGAAAACTATCAACCATATTTACCCACAGTATATGAATTCAGGTTTTTTTTCAAATTTCAAAGTATATCCTGGATAGCAGTTGTCATTACTCACAGTTTTCAGAAAACCTCGATCACATATTTCAATAAATATCTTCTTTCCAAAACATACTATTTTATTAGTACCCAACTACTATTCAATTTTCAGAAATTATCATGTATATAAGTATAATTTGAAATAAGTAATAATTTGCTCTTTTTTCAATCTCTAAAGCTATTATCACGGCAACAGCATCAGAGAGTAATGTTTACAATTAACACATAAACATATCTATGACCTGAACTACTTTCTATTATATCTGGAACCAGTGATAAAGTTTTGACATTTCAGCAACAGAAAGTCTAGACGCTATGCAAACAGATGCTGGGCTAGTGGCACAAGTATATTATATAATTTCTTTTATACTCAAAAGTCATCTTCATTGGTAATGACACATTTCTGACAAAAAGCTATAACCTAACAATAACATATAACAGTATTAATCACATGCTCTGATGATAATGAATCTATGTAGAGCATTATAATTTTTATATACAACTAGTAAGACAAATCTGAGCATTGGAAACTGCAAAATATGCAGTATTGAAATTGTTTCAAAATGCAGATTTTTAATGCAAAAGTCAAAGACAACTACAAGTTTTATCAAACACTTCCATGTTGTTGCTATTTAGAGCAAATGAAATACAATCAAACATGGCTTCCCTTATATTACAAGTACACTATAATCCAGATATTCCTAGATAAACGGGACCGGTTTCAACAGCACCTCTCTAGAGCCACGATGTGGGAAGGTGTGAAGAGATAATGACTAGTTTTGTCTGCACAACTCTTCATCATCTCAACACCTCCAGGTTCTTTGCACACAGAACCGGTAGCGAAAACTGGTTCTATTAGTTTAACCTGCCTTCACTGAACTTCATATGGCATCTTTATCTTATCTTTTCAACAAGTCCAAGTAAATACACCATGGACTGTCAATATTATGATCTGATATCATATTCTATGAATCAATGATGCAATTTTTTCCAAAGTTTAAACAATCATTTTAGTTTACCATGCATCTTTTTTTAAGAGAGAACTGGTATATATAAATGGAAACTGTCTTTAAATTGGTTTAAAAAACAGCTTCCTCTGAACTATGCGACACACTTATCTTTTCAACATGTACAAAAGTGTCAATACACCATAAAATGTCAATATTATGATCTGGTGTGTCTTGGTTAGTTTAATTAAACAATTTGCAAGTTTACTGCGCACTATAGTTGCCAAAAAGAACTCAGGCCTGATAAACGATAACATTACAATTATCACTAATCTGCTGCTCCAAGTCACAATTAAACAGCAACTGTTTATATATAGGCCTGGAACTAGCTTGTACCAAAAACTGGTAAGATTAACCTGTTCTTTCTGAACTTGAAGTGACATAGGATTACTCATCTAATCTTTTCAACATAGAAATGTCAACATAGAAAAGTCAACACATCAGAAAATGTCAATATTATGATCTGATATTATGTCACACGGTGCATTTATTTCAAATTTAAAACAATTTGTTTTAAAGCAAGTATATAAATCACGGAATATTGGTAAAATTTAATAAAATCATTTTCTATCATTGTAAAATGTCCGTATACAGAAATTGAACAAACGTATATACTATTACTTGTTCTATATCTTCAGAGTATTTATTGAAAATATAACAACGAAAAAAATCAATATATAAAAATGTTCTCACCTAAAGGATCAGGTCTCCCCTTCTGGTCAGGTACTGTGAACACACCCACTATTTCATGGCCGTCTTTTTTTAGTGTCTTGTACACTTCTGCTCCAAACTGACTCTGCCCTATGACTGCTATTCTTAAATTGGCCCATAAACACTGAGAAAAAAAAAAGAAAATAAGAAAATTCTTATTTCTTAATCTTGAAGAGGGGTGAGGACTTGTTAGATTAATATATTTATATTCTAGTGTTATCAGACTTCACCTCATCAGTAGGCAAAATGATTTGATAAAATGTATGATTTATTTTTTCACTTGTGTCAAAAATGATTGCAGTACGTTATGACTTAACTAGGAAACACACAGGATTCATATAAGTTAACATATATCCAGTTTTCATCCCCTGAGGAATTAAAATAGTCAAGACCTGTAAAGTCAAGAAAGACACCCACCACACAATCTCATCTTGGGTCTACTATATATGTACTATACATGTTGTATAATATATGGTATCTATATATATGGGCTATTAAAGTGACATAAGAGAGGAACAATATGAGTCTGTTTTAGACTACAGCTTTGAGAGCTTGAGGGGGATTTGACATGATCAGCACCAGTTCTAGTATATCCAGGGTTTTCCTTCAAAGAGATGGGAAAGAGACCTTGATAAGGATAAAAAATATGCTTGCAACACTTAGCAATTTTACTGTAATATGTAGGGTACTGAGAAGGAAAACTGCCTCGTTTTGGATTTTGTCCCATTTTTTGCTTGCTTTGCTTTTTTCCTCTCTCTCTCCCTTTTTTTGGGGGGGTGGGGGGGAGGGGGCGGGGGGCCTCCAATAATGGGGAGGGGGGGTATGGCCCACTATGCCTCCCTGAGTCTGGCCTACATTGCATGCATACTAGCCTCAGCAAGCCTGCATGGGTCTTGGTCATCCCTATCTGGTATTCAATGTGTACATACTACCTCAGTGCACCTACATGGGCCTTGGTCATCCCTAGCTGGAATTCAGTGTGTTGCATCAGCTGTGAAGGAAATCAGCTGATCTCACTCAAGCATGTCCACTTCACCTTGGGGGGGGGGGGGGGGTTTCAACACAGAACTGAACTGTATTATTTCAGATTTAATTCCCATTTGAAGAGAAATAAAACTTAGATCTAATGTTTGTTTATTATTGTTGTTAGTAGGGTAATTAAGCTAATTCACAATGCATGCGTTTGGTTATTTTACCTACAGTAAAAGAAACAAATACTCTTACTCAAACATGCTTAATTAACAAGCTCATATAAAAAATCTTACTAAAATTTAAAAAAAAGGAGAAAGGGCATATTTAAATTTTCCTGAAATCAATAACAAAAGGGTCTTAATTATGTTTCTTCTAATTGGTTATGTTATACAATTGTTATCTCTGCACTGGGACATGTTGGTGTATATCAAGCATGCACAGGTGGCACAAGACTGTGATCAGAATGAAACTATTTTCTAAAGTTTGAATGAATACACTGGGCTTCAGAGTTCTAGCTACACTATGGCATTGCATCATATAAGCAGCCCTGGCCACGTTGCTAAGTTAATTTTAGACACAGGCACGTTGGGAGACCCTTATCGCTTAAGCACACCAAGAATTCCTGGAGTTAAAAACTTTGCACAGGTTCTCTTTTAAATATATTCCTTGATAACGTTACTAATTTTTTACGTTTTGATTATGTGACGTGAAAAGCTAGGCCATTAAGCCTTAAGGCAATGCGTTAGGTATCACGGCTATACATACTAATATATGGGATGGATGTTACACGTTAAGCTGTCGTAACTGTGCTCACTGGCTCTTTGTGATGTAAGTGACGAAATGCAGATTGAACCCGCTTTAACCAGATTGAACCTACGCCGGCGAGACCCGACTGCCCTCCCATTCATAAATACATCGACAACAAAGTCAACAATGATCATGCAGAAACTAGGTTAATAACAATATTGTAATAAAACAAAATATATTGTGGAAATAGGAAAAACATATTTTGACTAAAGTTAAGATTATTATTTACCAAATACAAAACTTCAATGTAAACTTACTAAGCTTCGATGTACGTGTCTGAGATAATATCTAGTAATTAAGTCTCTGCACGGGCGACATAAACATTTTTCAATGTACAGTAGTAACACGGGAAACACTAACACGTGTCACGGTTTATGCGGAATTAATCAAATTTTTGCACTTAAGATCGTGCATTTCACTTACCTGTGAAGAGGAAAACCTCCTGACGAATTGATGTGCCGCTAACATTTCAGCATATAAGTCACAGTTTGGCCGCAAACGTTAAAACCGACCAACAGACTTTTGGAGAAATGCCTTTGGCCTCCAACGTAAATAGGGCACCGTCGCCACCTGACCCCGAGTTGACCTATTTATTAATCCGCAGACATATACACATTTATTTCACAAAATCCATTCATTTATCCAAATTTTGAAATAAAAGCATACCAGGGCACCAAGTTTTGGTTTTTATCAATCTAGTTTGAGTGCTATGCAAGTTACACGATGCAACTTGGGGACTATTTATTCAACGGGTTTCGTTTTTGACCCAGCGATTTTAGAACATGGCTGCGCCCGCAGGATCGAAAGAGAGCGGCACGTCCCTCGGCAGATCATTCTGCAAACTGTGTCTTTTAATTTTTATCGTCTTCACGTCGTTGTTTTTAGTATGTTTAATACGAGCCCTGACTTTTGAAAATCGAGAGATAGATTACAAACCGTGCAAAGTCACGGATGAAGACTACATTCGTGCTGATGGTAAAGTTGTTGACCGGCTTGTTCATTCACTTCGTTTTAAAACGGTGTCGACATCGAAGCATGAGTACAATCGGGACGAGCTGCTCAAGTTTCAGTTTTTTCTAAAGAGAGGTAAAATTTATTATATCGCCATTAAAAACAGTGTGTGTGTGTGTGGGGGGGGGGGGGGGGGTTAACACAATCCCCATTATGGGGTTGGGTTTAAAAGGGTCGGGTGGGTGTGGGGGGGGGGCAGGGGGGGTCAGGTTAAACGTGATATTTAGGTGGGACTCACAAGGTTATTTACAATATTTGACAGTTATTTAGAGGCACTTACACACACCAAATATTAGTGCATCTTATTATTGTATACTGTTGGGATGTTGAGAGGGATGGAGTATATGAACAGCACAATTAATTCTATTTCATAAATGGATAAATGCATTTATTGGTTTGAGACTCAGAGTGAAGGAATTTAATCCCCACTTTAAATTATGACATTTAATAAATTATTCTGGGTAAATCAGTATTTTTCTCTGACTAACCAACCTTTGATACTGATGCTCAGGAGCTCACCATGCATAACCCTGTGACAACCCCTCCTGGAAAGTCAACTCTGTAACTTTCTGGGAAATCTTTTTTCACAAAAAGTTTTTTAACCCAAGCAACCGTTTTTCAAACTAAGCTTTGCTTTAGAGTTCCATTTTTGCACAAACTCCTGGAATGTGTGCATTACAATACTTCAAGATGGCAGGTGGTCAGGTTTGCCAGGAAGTGGAAAATTTGATTTAGATTAATTTATCTATCAAGTTGACAACAGCAGATTGTCTTCTGCATATTTTTATAAAGAGAACTTAATTTTTCTTTTCAATTTCAGAATTTCCTACCGTCCATAATTCTTCATTAGTGAAACATGAAGTGGTAAATGGTTACAGTCTGCTGTATGAATTACCAGGTACATGTACATGTTTGTGTGTGTGTGCATGCACATGTGTACGTGCATGCGTGTGTGTGTGTATGTGTGTGTGTGTGTGGTTGCTCCATTGTAAAGGTTGAGTAACAACCACACACATTTCAGTGTATTTTTTCTTACTTTTAAATAATTGATTTCATATACAGGTTCAGTTATATTAGCATTTATTGTCTTAGATTGCTGGGAACTAAAACTGAAACTAAATCTTCTATCTCACTCTAGGCACGAACCCAGAATTGAAGCCATATCTTCTTGCCGCTCACCTTGATGTTGTACCTGCCTCAGACGAGGGCTGGGAACATCCACCATTTGACGGAGTCATCACAGAAGACGGTCATCTCTATGGGCGAGGAACGCTGGATAACAAAGATGGCGTTCTGGTAGTTAAAATGATTCTTTATGCTTGTGCTATATTTATAGATGTGTCAGCTCACAAGTGCTGTTACATACTTCTTCTCAAACTCTTTAAATTTCCTAGAATATTTTACTGCAGTTTTCATGACATGATTTGACCTATTTTCAGGGTATTCTTGAAGCCTTGGAATTCCACTTAAAAAGAGGATTCAAGCCCAAGAGGACTCTGTTTGTTGCTCTAGGCCATGATGAAGAGGTACGGAAAGCTGTGAACTGGTTTCAATAATGTAATGTAATGTAATGTAATGTAATGTAATGTAACGTAATGTAATGTAGACTGTCTTGCCAAGCAATGAAACACTGTTGCTTAAGACATATACAGAGACATCAGAATTTATAACAGCCATATTTCAAGACAGCTGATGTACAGGGAGCATGGGGAGGGGGTGTCATGTATACAGAGTAGGAGCAAATTTAGATCAGAAGCCTCAGAAGAATAATTAGTTGGGGGGGGGGGGAGAGGAATGCATCTGCCTACATGAAGTCCAAGCTTGTCCCAGGGCCACATGGGGAAAACTTTAGGACTTGAGCTAAAAGATGTCTGCAGGTCCTTTCTGGTTTGAACAAAGTATTTAAGTATTTAATTTCTGTTGGTCAATGTTTACATTTGGGTTATTTTTATGTATAATAGTACTTTCACAAAAAACGTGCCAGTTCGGAGGACCTGCTATATCACAAATCTTGCAGGTCCTCTGGCCTTTCTGGCTGTCACAAATTTTTTTTTGGGGGGGGAAAAGTCCACTTTCAAGCCTGGACATTAATTCAGAAAGATTTTTATAAACAATCATTTTTGCATATTTTTTCAGGTTGGAGGAGATGATGGAGCCGCACACATGGCACAGATGCTGAAGGACAGAGGCATTCAACTAGAGTTTGTGATAGATGAGGGCATGCCTATCCTGAGTGCTGGCCTGCCAATGATTGACAAGCCAGTTGCCATGTAAGTAAGTAAGGGGAGAAAGAAGACTGTTAAGTTTTAAAAAAACTTCACATTGATGACAATATGCATTAATCCAAACAAAGAAATTGCTATGTGATGATGTACTACAATGGTTTATTATTTACAGTATAGGAGCTGCAGAGAAAGGCTACGTGACACTGGAATTCAAGGTGGAAGTACCAGGCGGCCATTCCTCTATGCCGCCTCCTGAAACCAGCATTGGCATTTTATCCAAAGCATTAGCAAGGTGAGCTACTGGGAGGAAAATATATATGTATTAATTATGTATGGGTATTGTGGTTGGCTGTCTCGATAGCATCAAGGTGAGAAACTGGGAGGAAATATTAATATGGTGCACAGTTCAGAGGGAGCTGTGAAAAATAGTGCCCAGTGGGAGGAAATGGGACCCTGATGCGAAGTACAAGAGTACTGTTCCATAAAGTACATGGTATCTGGCCAAGCAGAGGCCAGTAAATCTACAAGAGGCATAATAAAGATATGTGAATTATCAGACATGAGCTTTTTCACGAAAACGCGGAATTACACATTTTTTAATTCAGTCCTAAGGTGCCCCCCCCCCCCCCCCCAGAAACCTAGGCTCATGTCTGATTATGGTATTGTGGTGACTGCAATTCTAGATTCTTGAAGCAATAATTATAATGTTATATGCACAAAGATGCAGGTACAAGCGCACTAAAGAGTAGTAGTATCTCATTATTCCAGGTTAGAAGCTTCGCCTCACCCTGATTTGTTTGGTTATGGCCCTGAGGCTGCCATGATGGAGCACATGGCACCGCATGTAAGTGTTTTTTATTAAATTTCATTTTTCTATTTCATTTTATGTATTTAATGACCAGATTAGGAAGGGTTTAAAACAACATAAGTAGAATATTTTGGACCAGGTAATTACTTGAATTTTAATTCAACATGTGTTATT